GTATCACAAGTGCAAATTAACAGATGGGTTGAAGATAATAGTTACCACCTTGTACCATGTCAGGCAGGTAAGGAGGCTCCAGGAAGAGATACCACAATCTCCTCCAAAAAAATGCTTAACAAGTATCACTGTCTCAAAGAGTCTTAAAATCTGTCTAGAGAAACAGTGCTTAAAACACTCAGCTGGGCTTTAAAATGGCAATGTGACAGAGAAAGCGTGACGGTAAGATAGTGTCCCTTTTATTGAAAAATGTCATTTGTGTTCAGTGTGATTGTGTTCGTGTTGCTTTTATCAAGCCCTTTATTATTTGAATTCATTTGTTCATGTAAAATATTACTGACTAGAAACTGGAAGTTTCCTGTATTCTTACTACTGCCCATTTATGGTCATATCAAGGTTCTGGAGATAAACAGTAGAGGACAAACGAGATAAGAATCCTTCCTGGGTAGAATTTGCTCTCTAGGAAAAGTAAATCATATAAAAGATAGAGTATGCTAAATAATGAGCACAGGGAAGCAGAAAAAAAAAAACCTAAAAGAGTTAAAGGTTTTGAAATATTGAAGGAGGAACAGTAACATATTAGACAGCATGGGATAGAGAAGGAGTCTCTACGAATATAACTTTCAAATTCATTTTAATTCAACAGGAAATATACAAACTTGGGTTTCTTCTGACCCAGGGGGCCGGCCCTCAATCAGTTTATGTTTGTTCCATAAGGTCTTCTTCTTTTTTTTTTTTTAATTTGTTTATTTATGCATACAGAACTGGCGTACAGGCCAGAGGTGCAGGGGTGGTGAGAGAATTCACCAGAGACAGAGTGCTGAGCAGAACAGACAGATCCACTGAAGTACACTGCTGCCGGGAGCAGCAGGCATGTCAGGAGAGGTCTGCCGCATCATATGGGTCACCTCCAGGGCAGGCGGGGATTTAACTCATTCTGAAGTGGCTTTAGCTTAGATAGTCTTATTTATCTTATAAGGATCAGTCTTAAAGAGCTATCAAACTTTCCCTGGGTTAACAATTAGAAAGCAGCCCAGTCAATATACAAACCTCTAGAGAGAGCATCTCTAAGGTATAGTTCTCTCTCGGCATCCGACTGCCTAGCAAAGGAGAAGAAACAGACCACAGATTATGGAAGGGTGTATGTGAAGCTTAAAAGAACCAATCACTCAAAAAACTAGCATTGCCCTTCAGTTTGAACTCAGTCTGCAGGGTCCGAGGCCCCCACCATGACAACTTGCAGGAGGGCCTTTGAAAGAGCAGGTAAGCTCGTCAGTAACTAAAGCTTCTCAGCCAGTTCCTGGGGAGAAGCTCAGCAATGAAGTGGTTTAGAGTTGGATGTGGAAGAGTGTGCAGAGATAAAACATTGTAAAGCACCGGTGGGCACCCCGATACGGATCATCCCCACACTCAGCCTGACTCAGTATGAAGCAGTCACCTGAAATGTATTTTTGGCTTTGCTACAACACAAGATCCTCAAAAGTTTAACTATAATGATTCAGGAGTGATTTTTTCAAAGGGGAAAGCCATATAATTGGAAATGTATGCAGAAAAATTCTTTAGAGAGTAAGTATAACCCTGATTTAATAATTGTTTGGGAATTGGCCATGGTAGGGAACAGGAAAAGAGCCAATTCACAAAGATTAAGGAGCAGTTGATCCATTTCAAATTCCTAGGATTCACCAGTAACATTTTTGCCACTCAAAGAAGCATGGATTTCCCGAGTATTACTAAGTCAGCAAAGGACATTGAATGCTTGGCCATTTGCCTCTCATGCTATTATTTCACTTAAGGAATAGAGGTAATTTTAATCATCAGATTCTGTGAGTTTAAAGTAAACTCCACTTTATTTTAATCATCAGATTCTGTGAGTTGAAGGTAAACTCCACTTTAATTACTTTTTCTATTCAGATAAAAATGGAAAGTTCTCCTGGACACATCATGTTGGTTATTTATCATTTACTATCACACCAAGTTAACTAAAAGAAATGAAACATACCCATCAATTCTGTATCTCTGCACGTATATACAGAATTTCATCTGGTCTGAAAATGACTTGCCTGAGGGCTGGTAAAAGAAGTTCTGAATATCTGGCCTCCCGGGGTTCAAGTGCAGCACTATGAAGCTATCCAACAGCTGTTTCAGCACGAGTTCGATCCCCAGCCAGGGAGGTGACCCACATGGTGCAGCAGACCTCTCCTGTCTCATCCACTGCTCCCCTCTGAACTGCATTTCAGTAGATCCACCTATTCTTCTCCCCACTCTCTGGCCTGTCTCTGATGAATCCTCTCACTCCCACACCTCTGGCCTGTGTCCTAGTTCTTGTATGTATCAATAAATAAATCTTTTTAATTTTTAAAAATGTTCTGAATATCCAGAAAGCAGGAACCTCAGGATTTTGCATTTTATATTCAATAACTCTTGCATGCAAAATTAGAGTTTAAATGCATGCTTGCCAATTACCAAAACTCAAAAGGGGATAGTGGGTAAACTTACAGCCCTTAGATCCTCAGCATGATTCAAACCCAAATCATTTACCTGCTCTAAGAAACTGAGTGGCTTTATCATTCTATCATCTAAGCCTCAGTTCCCACACTTCCCCCCAAAAAGATAACGCTGATCAAGAAGACCATATTCAAAACTCACTGGGCCAGCTGTGTTTTGGAATTCAGAAGTTTTCACATTTGGAAATATATTAAGGTGTGTACACTGCCTGGTAAGTAACACCCTCAGCAGGGGGTAGGGCGGCACCCTGTCATCAGAAGCATTAACATTTCTGCTGGGAGATATATGAACAGTCACAGTAATGGGATGCATTATGACTATAAATAGCCTCGTCAGTTCTGCTACCTTAATTTGTATCAAGCATACAAAATATCCCGCAGAGATTTCATATCTTGGATTTATGAAAAATGAAGTATAAACCTGCTTTACACACATGTTTGTCTATGTACACAGAACTGCACATTTATATATACAGGGTGGGGGAGAGGAGAGAGAAGGCTATTGTTAAACAGGATTGTGCCAGAAAAGTAATGGCACATTTTGCTCAGCACACACTGAGCAATCAATAGTGGACAGAATGAGTTCCCTGAAGGCAGGATCACTGTATTTTAAAGATTTACTTATTTATGCATACAAGAACTGGGGTACAGGCCAGGGGTATGGGGTGAGAGGATTCACCAGATACAGTGTGGGGAGCACAACAGGCAGATCCACTGAAGTACACTGCTGAGAGGAGCAGCGGGTGAGACAGGAGAGGTCTGTCACACTATATGGGTCAGCTCCCAGGCTTGGGATTTAACTCTTGCTGCAGAGGCTCTGGAGAGCTTCACAGTGCTGTGCTTTATTTAACCTGTGGCACTACTAGGGAGGGCCCAGGATCACCATTTTGCTCACTGATATGGTCCCACACATCCCCAAACCTATGATGTGCCTAAAAGAATTCCTATACTTCTATATAGCGTTGAGGGGGGCTTAACAAATAAAAACTCATTGAGTGATTCATGGCTTTTCCTCATCCAGGCTTCACTCGTCCAAGTAGAACTACCTAAAAAGACAAAGTGCAATTTCTAGTGAACTCAGCTTGCTTTGTAAAACAGGAAGGAGGTGCAGAAATACAACCACAAGTTCCTAGAGAAACACAAAGACTTTACTCAAGCCTTGAAGATCAATATGCAATCCTTTCCTGGTTTTCTTTTCAATCTCTGCCTTTGGGAAATGACTAAGAGTGGCATGATTCACATCTGAATCTGACATATCAGAAAAAACCTCAATCAAGGGAAGCTCCTAACTGGAACCCCACCTATGATCATGGTGTGTATAAAAATTAACAGCAGCTCATGAACATCGTTGAGGAGCAAGTATAGAATCTTCAGTGACCCATGTGCTTTTGGAAAGGAGACAGCCCTCATCTACACAAGGAATAGCTGTCTAGCCTTCCAACAACAAAAAGTAAGTCCATACCACTAAATTACACACACACACAGAGCAGTAAACTAAAATTTAGAATCTATACATTTGATCCATCTGACAATGAGTAAGTCCACCCTTTAACACAATGTGATGACTTCAGCACACTACCAAACACCCACTCTAAGAAGTTCCCTTTCTCTGCCCTAGGTTAATGAGTCAAACAACAAACAAATGGAGAAAATAAGAAGGAAAAAAATCTTCATGCAGTTAGTGACATTTTCCCCAAAACACTATCTTCAAACTGAGATAGTAGGACTTCAAAAATGGCAAAAATGCATGACTCTTCTGAATATGATAACCTCAGGAAAAGATCTGGCATGCAGATTTCTTATAAGCAATGGGGAGGGAAAGCTTATTTGTATATATATCACACAAATGTTATTCTCCCACGAATGGTGGGGGAGTCGGCTTAGCCTAGAAGAGCAGTCTGTCTCCATTTAAAACTGCTACCATTCACTTAGTCCTATTTCTAAAGAAACCAACAGGCAAACTGACACACTACCTGCACCAAAACACCAACAGCTAAATAGTGTGAAGAGTGTTACAGGTCTGATGTTAAAGGCCAGGAACAGATCCTGAAATTGGGGTCTTAAAAATAAAGCTTACCTGACATATACACAATGGACTATTACTCAGCAACCAAAATAAATAAATAAATAAACACATTCCTTTTGCAGCAACATGGATGGAGCTGGAAAAAATCATGCTTAGTGAAATAAGCCAGAAAGAAAAGGAAAAAAAATAACGGATGGTTTCACTTCTAGCAGGAGTATAACAGACCAGAGGAGAAAATAATAATAATAATGAACAGCTATATACCAGAGACATTTTATGGGGGTGGAGTGGGGAATGGATCAAAAACAGTGGGGGGGAGGGAAATACACTGGACTATGGTGATGGCACATGGGTGATTCAGTGATGGGAAGCCCACGGGGATTGCAACTGAGATGGAAAAAGGCACAAAATGATGTAAAAATAAACTATTATATTATGTAAACAAATAAATAAATAAAAATAAAGCTTACCCGGCCAACAAGAATGGGTTCAGGTCCAGAAAACTCTTCCAGGACAAACATTTGATTCCAAACCCAGCCTCTTTTGGAGCGGTTTAAAATCCGCTGTTCTTCACTCAGACTGTTTAGTTCCAAAGGGGATCCACTCATTACGCCTTGAGACTGATTCATCGGAGCCATGTAAATGTAAGGGGGTAGGGTAATCCATAATATTATTAATGGAGTCCAGAGATCCAAGAGCATTTCCGCTAGCCGTTCTGGCATGGTCCCACCAGTTAAGCAAATCACCACGAAAATGAGACAATTATTTTTTTTGCCTCCGGTCTGCAGTCATCCAATTCATCATGCAGTGCTGAGCATTTACTTAGAGCTCTGCCCGGTATTGAGAGCACAGGAAATAGACATCTTCTAAGCAGTTTTTCTAAGACCGTGATCCATTGGCTTTCCTTTTTCTCGAAATTTCCTGGAAAAACAAGGAGAAAGAAAGGTAAGGTTCACAGCAACAGGTTTTTCAAATTCACTGCTTTTCATAAGCATGCCAAGGAACAATGGGAGCGATTTCCCCAACTCTTGAGTAAAGAAACTGGATCATTTGAGAAATAAGAGCAAGTAGGTGAACAGGTCCTTTGATTGTGTAAGCTTTATTTAGATTTTAATATTCATTTTGTATCGAAATCCCCTACTTTGGGTAACAGAATTTCTCCTTTTCTTCCTTTCCTTCCTTCTTCCCTTCTTTCTTCTCTCCTGTTTTCCTTCATTCTCCCTATCCTCTTCTCCCACTAGCCCTATTCTCCTGTGGTTTGTTGTGCAACTTGAGATACCACTGCATATGCACAGCACTGTTCTCTTTGATTCTGCAAGCTTTTCTTCCTCCTGTTTGTCTCTCCTTCCTTCCTTCTTTATTCCCTTCCACTTCCCCTTTCTCTTTCCTTTCCTCCCTCCTTCCCCTCCCTCCCTCTATTTCCCTTTTTCCCTCCCTCCCTCTCTCCCTTCACCTATTTAAAGATGGGCTCAACTTCATTCTATGTTGAAATATGTGAAGTAACTAGCCCCCAAAGGGTAAGGGAAAACCTTTTTTTTTTTTTTTTCCAGTTACAAATGAGAATGGGAAGGGAGATTCCCTCACGTTTTAAGCCTTGGCTGCCACAATCCATCAGAAGGGAACAACACCCCGTCCAGGGGACAGAAAGCAGTCCTCTGCCAGGGTGCTAATAATGAGTGAATAAAATTAGAATGCTCCCAGAGAGAAATTTTGTAATGTCCAGCATGTGTTCTGTAATCAGGACAGTGTCAGGGTTCCCACTCTAAATGGACAGTTGACCAGGAGATTTAAATTATGAAAAGCTCCTTTGGGAATGATATATGGTAAAAATTCAATTTTCAATTGAGGAGATTCAGAAAGCAATGGGCCAAAAAAATAAAAAATCCCCATTAACCTGAGGTATCAAATACATTTTTTTTGCTTACCTTCAGTGTAGCAAAGGTGTTTCTTCCCTTTCAAGAAAAATATATATATATATTTTTAAAGAAAGAATTTCAGATCCCAGAGAGAAACCTTGCTGAATTAGATTAAATGGGAAAATAATTCCTCGGGACACTGTGGGGAACACTTGGGTTCAGGGAATTCATAATGGGGTAGCGGACCTTTCAACTTTAGGTCTGCGCTTCCATTCTGGCTCAGATCAGGAAAGCTAAAGTCATTAACACTGGCTGAGCTCCTGCGTGGCTGTGGTCAGGCCAGCAGGAAGGGGCTGGCCCATACTACAGCGTCACAGACAGCAGCATAAAATCTAACAAGATGGCAGTGGAACCCCCGACTGGCACCCCACCTTCGAGTTCAGCTCAACCATTAGGGCTCTTGAGCTCAAGAGCGCCCTGCCCTGGGCAATGGACAGGAGAGTGGATGCAGGCAGCATTTGTTGTGGGAACCAAGGGGTAACAGCTCCCAATAAAGAACCTACAGAAAGAAAAAGAGCCCAGAACAAAGTCCCCGAATTGTAGCACATGCAGAGAAAAGTGCCTTCCTTTCAAAGTCCATTCCCACAAGGGCCTCCACTCCTTCTAGAAGTGAAAAGCAGACCCTTAAAAGCTCACGTTTAACACTAATTTCAAAAATTCATTTTATTATATTTATTTATTTGGACATAGAAGAACTGGGGTACAGACCAGAGATATGGAGGGTGAGAGGACCCACCAGAGACAGAGTGGGGAGCAGAACAGATGGATCCACTGAAATACACTGCTGAGGGGAGCAGGGGGTGAGACAGGAGAGGTCTGTTGTGGGTAGCTCCCAGGCCAGCGGTCAAACTCAGATCATTGTGGTGATGGAACCGAGACTTTACCCACCCAATTAAGGCCACCAAAGGTCCCTAACAGCTGTTTTAATCTCCCTCTGATTTCAATCTTCCCCAGGAATTCAGTACTGACAGGTCAGTAGGAAGCGATCTAGTCAGCATCAGTGAATTTTTTTTTTTCCATTTCTCAAAGCAAAACCAGACCCTGTCATAAGACCCTTACTCATTCCACACACCTAGGTTACCTAAGCATGAAAGAATTCCCTTTTTGTTTATGTTCCCCCTTTTCTGCCTATAAGCACCCTTCTTTTTCAGAGCACCTTTATCTTCGCTAGGTGGGATATGATCCAATTCATGAGTCATTTAATAAAGCCAATTAGATCTTCGAGTTAATTCAGTTGCATTTTTGTTATTTAATGCTTTTGATAAGAAATCCCAAAATAATAATATCTTTCTAAATCGTCAATCCACTTGCTCAGATGGTACTGAGAGCACACGTGTCTCACTTTCTTCTAGACATGGACGAGGACAGAGTAGTGAAGGAGGACTTGGAGTATTCTGTACAGAGTCAGGGAGGCAGAGAAGCCTGGGTTTGCATCCCAGGACACCCCACTTGCTGTCTCTATATTTATGGACAAGATGCTGAAGTTCTCTGAGCTTTTGTTTTCTCTTCTGCAAAACTGCAAAAACAATAGCTCCTACTTTATGAGGGCAGGGTGACTCTGCAAAGGGACACATGGAAATCCGTCAGTACCTGGGAGACACTTGCTGGCCCATAGTCCCTGTGATCTCTGCCCTGGAGGGAACTTTCATAAAAAAAGCCAAATGAAAGAGCAAAGAATTAAGCTGAGCTGCTTCCACAACAAAAGTGGTCAAAGTATGAGAGCAACACAGAGACACTTAATTTTTTGTCTTCAAGGTGGTCTGTGGGGGGCTGTGGCTTATGCTGGTGTGCACAGTGCTGTGGTTCCAGCCCTTGCATGTCTCATGGGAGATGACACACCTAACAGACATACCTGACAGTCTTT